AGGAGGGAGGACGGGCGCTGGCCCGGGCGGGCGCTGGGCTCCGCGCGCGGCGCTCCGGGGCCCGGCACCTCCGCGGCTGCCCCGATCGATCCCGACCTCCCCGTAAAGTCATTCCAAATATGCTCTTAGGCAAGAAGTTTATTTTGTCAACATCACGCTAAGTGAAACACGGCCTGTTTTGTTCCAGGGCCTTCTGCTCTGCTCCGCTCCCTCCGAAGTATGTGGGAAAGGAAGTCAAGGATCGAAGGCAAGTGGCGGGGACAGCGAACTCGAGGTCACTGAATTTCTGAGGAATCTCAGAACTAGCAGAGTTGCTGCTGCAGTTTAATCTTTTGCTCACAATTCCATGTAAATGTTTAATTAAACAGCTGTCCCTCTCCCTGCCCTTTTGAGTAGAAAAGCTCAAAAATCCACCCAGCAGATCCTCAGAGCAAAGAGCCTTTAGTGAATTCCCAGCGTGGCACGGGAGACCTGCACAGTGTATCCGTCCCCAGAACCGGCATCAGGCACCTCATTTCCAACCCTCATTCCAAGGTTACCAGGAACCTGCTGGCAACAGCCTGCGGCAGCTCAAAGCTAACGGAGATGCTCTGGTCACAAAGCAGAGAATTTCCCCTTTTTTGGCTCTGCACTAAACTGAGTTTTTTTCTTCCTAGCATAGACAAGGATCCCGGATCCTGCTCCCTGTAGCTGCGGAGCAAGGAACCGTTCCTCAGGGCTCCCACATTTCGGATGAGGGGATGCAGCTCTCCGGAGAGCTCCGCGTGCCTTTGCTTCGCCCTGCTCCTCAGGCAGAGCTGACACGGGAGCGACGCGGATGCCGGCACCCTCCGTTTAACTGTACAGCATCCCGAGGCATCCCAAGGCATCCCAAGGCATCCCGCACCTCCGCAGTGGCGGGATTAAGGCCAGCGAGCCACGCTGACACCCCCGCATTCGGCTGGGCCCCCCTCAGGACATCTGGCTGCAACGGGGGCTGCGCTTCCAAACGGGGCTGGTTTAATGGAAACGAAACCACAGAAAGCAACAGAAACATTAACAAACGCTCCGTCCCACGGAGTTAGGGAAGCAGAGCATCATAGGTGCTAATGACCAGTCATCATTGCTCATTGCTCAAGAAAGCGGGTGCCAAACTGGTTTCTAGCCCCATTCCCCCACCGCGCGGCCTGGTGAAGGCTGCTGTTTCGCACAGGGCTCTTCCCCGCTCACGCCTGGGGATTCAGCTCTCCCTCCATCGCCGGAGCGAAGCCGCTCTGCTCACGGCAGGGCCAGGGCCGGGGGCTCTCCCAGCAGCTCTCTGCGCCCCAGGGTTTCCCTTCCCTCCTGCCAGCTCCTCCAGCCTTCGCAGCGCGGGACGAGGCCTTACAGCAGAACCACGAAAGAGCTGGCGGTGACCTCGGGAGGCGGCGCCTGCCCGTGCAGTGGGATCCAGGGAGCCGCACGGGCCCCTTGGAGGGCAGGTCCTGGAGACGATGAGCAGGAGGCCTCGGACACCCTGGCAAATGTCTCCTGAATGCTAGAAGGGCATTACAGGAAGGTGGTTTCCTCCATGCAGTGACTACGGAGAGAAGACAAGCGGCGGCAGGCGTCGATTTTTAGGAAAGGGGCGTGAGGGGGAGCAGGAGTGTGGAATAAAGTCACCACCAGCAAACGGCGGCACCGCAAAACTGTCCCCTCACCACAACCCGCAGCACAGCAGGAGGGTGAGCAGCACCTCGCACAACCGCGCTCCAAAATGTGTCTTCTTCCCGCTTTCCTGCAACATCAGGGAAGAGCCCCAGCAGCACGAGGATC